TAGTCTTTGGCATCTCCATTATCCTTAAAAAAGATTTGTCTATTTTGTGTATACGAGTGCTCCATCTGCATGCCAGAAGAGAATGTAACATCCCATTACAGATGGTTGTGAGCCACCATGAGGTTGGGAATTGAACTCAGGACCTTTGGAAGAGCTGCCAGTGTTCTTAACCATTGAGCCATCTCTCTAGGCTCTCATTACCCTTTGTAAGAGTTCTGTCTAGGCTGTTACTTTTTTGGAGGAGGGGATTGAGGTGGGGGTAGGGTTGTTACAGAAACCTCCCACGTCTGTCCTCCTCTACTGTGCATCAGCAGTCATCAACACCATGGGAAAAGTAGCCTCCTTGCTCTTCACAGTCAGTGGGAGCACAGATCGTGGGCTCCACTTGGTGTTTGGTGACATTGCTGGTCACAATCATGGTCCCCTACTGTAGCAGGACCACTGACCCTGTCAGGGCTCCCAGAGGCTGCCTCAGGACCATGGATATCAATGTGGCCTCAGATGTCAGCGTAGGCCACCCACAACAATATGGTCCCTGGCAGCAGCACAGCCTACAGACATTGATATTGCTTCAGGCTGCAGCACATAGCACAGATGTCTACATGGTCTTCAGTGATTACATAAGTCAAGGATATCAACACAGACCCCTGCTGCAGCAGGACCATGGACCCAGACATGGCCCCCAGGGGCAGTATGGGCCCAGACATCACCATATCCTCAGGTGACAGTGCAGGCTACTCATGTATATGTGTGTGTGTGTGTGTGTGTATGTATGTATGTATATATATGTATATACATACTCAGTGAAGCCAGCATGAGTGAGGAAAGGCTGTGAAGAATGGACAAGTGAGCTAGACTGTGTGATGGAACATGGTGCACAGAGGAAGGGAGATTAAACAGTATCATAGGGACAGGAGGTGACAGGGTGTCTTAGTTAGGGTTTTACTGCTGTGAACAGACGCCATGACCAAGGCAAGTCTTATAGAGGACAATTGGGGCTGGCTTACAGGTTCAGAGGTTCAGTCCATTATCATCAAGATGGGAGCATGGCAGCATCTAAGCAGGCACAGTACAGGAGGAGATGAGAGTTCTACATCTTCATCTGAAGGCTGCTAGCAGAATACTGACTTCCAGTGAGCTAGGGTGAGAGTCTTAAGCCCATGCCTATAGTGACAAACCTACTCCAACAAGGCTACTCTTACTCCAAAAAGGCCACACCCACTTGAACAGGGCCACACCTTCTTCTAGTACCACTCCCTGGGCCTAGCATATACAAACCATCACACAGAGGAACAGTCTATAGAGAAGGCCTTGAAGCATGGGAGGGGCTGAAGTATTGAGATGGGGTGAGGAATCCAGTGTGACTGGTTTGGGGGCACATAATACAGAGTAGAGGACACTGAGGCAATCATCCCCAGAGGGGCAGGAACCTTTCACTTCTGCCCAAGAAGCTTGGGCTCTCTCCTGCTGGACAGTGGTTCTCTACCTTTAGTGATTACAAAAATCACCTAGGGACCTCATTACAATTGGAGACCCCTATGACTTCTCTCCAAGGGGATGGATGCTGCAGCAGACGACAGCCTAATGAGCTCTCCAGTCGATTCTAGTGTGGTTGGTTCACAGAAGCCATCAGTGCTAAGGGATGTGAATGCTTTAAGAAGAGGGAATGACATGACCCAATTTATTTTTTTAGGAAGAGAAGTCAGGCAACTGTAGAGGGTGGACAGATTTTACTGACGGGGGAAAAATGTAAGAGCCTCTTTTATTAAGAATACCTGAACAAAGGAGGACTTGGTAAGAATTAAAAAAAGTTCAATTGTGCATGACCTCATAAATAACTATAACTTTTTTATGGCCTGAGCCAGGAAGCATCACTGGTGTGCCTCTCTTCCACCCAGGTTTTCTGTGCTGAAAAGTTGGCAATTCCAAAGTCCCTGCAGGTGAGAGTGGCTGCAAGCCTTGTTCTCTGTTGAGTAATATTACTTGTGTTTTCTGTAGTTTCCAGAGCATCAGGCTTTGGAATGCTCACTGATTGGCCCCAGAAGCACCTGACCCTTCCCAGCCTGCAATGGACATCAGGAAGCAATAGCAGCAGGAGCAGCAGCAGCAGCAGCAGGAGGAGGAGGAGCAGCAGCAGCAGCAGCAGGAGCAGTGGTGGCAGAGTTAGCAAAGACATGAGCATGCCAACAGCCAGCTCTATGGAAAAAACATCAATGTACACCAAATTATTTACAATAGAGTTGGGTCGGGGGATAGAGGAATCCAGTTCCTCTTTAACACATTTGAGGGCCTCTGGGTCTTTCTACTTGGTGGAAATGGAGCAAGTCACCATGGGTCACCCAGAGGAAACCCCATACTGTCCTATCAGGGGATCTCATCTGTTTTCTTATCAACATTTCCCTGCCCCTCACTGCAATACTTCTTACCAGCACTTTCTCTGGATTCAAGTGGCAAGAACTTCAGACCTCACCTTGGATCTTCTCAAATGACAGTCCACAGGTAAGCATCACTTTGTACATGGCTGGGTACCCTGGGCCAAAGTGTGGAACGAGGCCCATCCTGGCTTCCCATGACTCCTAGAAAGCAGGGGAATAGGGATTTACTTTGTCAGAAGGGAGTGGAGACGAGAGAACACTGATTTGGAGGAATGTTTCCAGAAGGCAGTCAGTGAAACTATGAAATTACCTTGTTTTGAATGTGGATTCTCTCCACTTCAAGAAAACCTCATTACTATCAATAGTGTGTGTGTGTGTGTGTGTGTGTGTGTTGTGTGTCCAACCAAATTTAAGGAATACCCATCAAATGACTCAAGTGTGACTGTAACATGTACAATCAGAGACTAGAGCTGGGAGCTTTGTGAGGGCTTCAGGATCTCGCGTTGTGACTGTGCAGTAGTCAGGATGCTACGGAGGCCTGCAGCAGAACTGTGGGGCTGAGCTCTCTCTACCCACTCTGGATTCACTTCTGGACTCCAGATGGACCCTCACTGCTTCTCAGTTCTGTTGCTGCCTCTATCCTGGAGACACCTATCTCTTGGACCCATGGAACAGGTCATGTTCTCTGAGTCTCTTCCTCTACCTCCAGTACCATTGTCTCCTCAGCTCACAAGCACACCTGCAGCCAGGCAGCTAAGCTGACATCCTCACTGTGCATGAAGGTTCTCTGCAGTCTGATGGTTCTTCTCAGTTCTTTTGGTCATCACCAGTACTCCATGGATGCTTCTTCCAGGGGCTTCTGGGTGCTGTGAAGATTAATGCACAGGGCCACAGCTGTACTGGGACTGATGCCCTGTGTGGAACTCCCTATAGGGAATAGGCAGAAGGAACACCGCTCAGACCTTATTCCAAGAATCTTACTTCAGATTTCAGGGAAAAGCATTTTGCCTCTAGTTTTAGCCTGCAGTATGGACCAGTCTTCCCACTGGCACACAGCACCTGAAACTCCTACCTGGCTCTCTCGTCCATGCTCCTGTCTGCATCCTCATCTGGCTCCTCTCCACATTCTGGTGTCACCCTCCGGGGACCACAGGGACTCTGACAGCACTTGAAACAGACACAAGAACTGTTACTAGAAATCGGCAGGACTTATGCTTGGCTGTGCTGGCCCTGTGCAGACATGGGCCCTTAGGCTGAATCCTCCCGAGTGCTCCATTGATCCCTTCACCAGCCTTCTCCAGCAGCCTTGCCCAGCGCTGCTGGGTCACTGTCCTCTGCTGTCTCCATGTAGCTCAAGCATTGTAGGGCTCCTCAGAGGAGGGAGGGCAGGATGGGATTTTCTTTCTGGCATGATAGACACAATGTCACCAACCCCCTCAATGTGAGTGCTGTAATATATTAAGAAGAAACTAGAGAGTGTATCCTTTCCCATCACACCCTACCTACTTGTTTCAGCCTGTGTCTCTGAAGCAGTCTTCATTGACAGCCACGGTTCTGTTATTGGTCTCTGGGAGTCAGCAGCAACACAAGCTTCTTAAAGCTTTGCATACCCTCTTCTTCAGGCTCTTCCATCCCCACCTTCTCCGTGAGACTCTGGGCACAGCCTGGCCATGCCTTTGATGAGGCCCATGATGGTCTATTTCCCTGAAGAGTGATTTGGTGTCTTGAAAGGATTTCATCCCTGTATATTCTTCCTGTATTTTCTTACTGGGGAAGGGGGTCCAGGTTGTAGACTCCCAGGAGGATGTGCTGGAGCTTGGGAAGGATTTGGTGTCTGTAGTTTCTTCCTGGATTTTCCTACTGGGGAAGGGGCTGCTGGTTGTAGACCCCCAGGAGGATGAGCTAGTATCTTTGAAAGATTCAGTACCTGTATTCTCTTCTTGGGTTTTCTTACTGGGAAAGGGGCTGCTGGTTGTGGACTCCGAGGAGGACTTGCTGCTACATTCGTCTGTAGACTCAGAGTTCTCATTTGTCCCATCTTGTGTGTTTTCATAGGTTGAGGTTTGGGAGAGCTTGAACAGTGAGTCTGTGGTTCCTGAAGATGATGTTATTGTTGTTGTCATTGTTGCTTTTCTTTTTCTTGAGAGTGAAGTTGTAGAATTTATTCTGCCTTCCTGTTCTCTGAATGTCCCCTTTCCCACATGAGGCATAAGCCCCTGCAGTGGTGAAGGGTTTTCCAGGTCGCTACTCTTAAGGGAAGAAAGCATGAGAGGCACACTGTGCCTCCTCTTACAGCCTTTCCTCCTATCTTCAGGCAGGTCAGAGTGACTGGGAAAAGTGTAGGTAGGAAGGGGTGCTGCACTGGTTCCCCTCCTTAAAGAACAAGGAAGCTTGGGAGCTTTTCTAGGGTCCAGTGTACCACCCTGCCCTCCATCGTGACAAAACTGGGGCCACCAGGTACACTTTCTTTTGATGATAAGGTAGGTTGCCATGTCACGACTATACTCCCGATCTTTCAATGCATATCTTAGGTCTTTAATTTTATGCCCCAGTAAAAACATTTCAAAAGCAATGTTAGGGTCTGGTTCTTGAGGGATTTCCGTTGAAGATGTCAATGTGTCTTGATCATGGTGCAGCCATGGGTGTGCTAATATTTCTTTGATGGATGGTCTTGATGTGGGGTCTACTGTCATTAATCTCTTCAATAGGTCTTGAAGGTCTGGGGAGAGGCGATATGGGATCCAGTAGTTCTGGGATAGGATCAGGTACTTCATCTTGGAGTGCACTGTCTCTTTAAATGGAAGTTGGCTGACAACTAAAAAGTACAAGAGCACCCCGATGCTCCAAATATCTATTGGAAGGCCCTCGTAGGGATCATGTTGGAATACTTCAGGAGCACAATATTGTGCTGTACCACAGAACCCCTGAAGCACTTCCCCTGAGGCCAGTTTTTTGCCTAACCCAAAGTCAGTTAGTTTCACATGCCCCTCCCAATCCAATAGGACATTCTTGGCTTTGATGTCTTGGTGGACAATATTCCGATCATGGATATAGTTGACGGCCAAAGACAGTTCTGTGAATATGGTATGTGCCTCTTCCTCCTGTAGATGCCCACACTTGTTGATGTGTTTCTGCAGGGATCCACGGGCTGCATATTCCATTACAAGGTAGGTTTTGTGGTTGCTGTCAATAATCTGAAGCAACTCTACTATGTTACTATGATGAAGAGTTTTCATTAATGCAATCTCAGAAACAACTAAGAAATCCATCCTTGTGCCCCTTTTCAATACCTTGATGGTGACCATTGTCTGGGTCATAAGGTGGAGAGCCACTTTGACTTCTGCAAAAGACCCTCTATCTAAGGTGCCCAAGATGTAGTAATCCTGGGCCAGGGTGTTCCCTTCGTGGCAACTGGCCTCCAACTCCCTCGACATCATACTTCCCTTCTCTTGGTCGGAGTCTCCAGGAGCAACAGCAAGAAAGGTGGCAGGGAAAACAAATTGGAATTAATTTTAGGGAAGCTTACTGCTAGAGAGTCTAAGATTAAAAGTCAGAGATACCTCCAAGGACAAGTCTGGCTATGCCTCAAGGGCACTGAGAAAACAGAATAAAGCAAAGACAGACACAGTGGATGGAAAGAAGGAAGAAGGCTCAGAGCAGAAAAGAGCAAGGGCAATGGAAGACAAGATTTTAGTCAGGAAAAGAAGGATCCCCATTTCAAAGGACAGAACATTGACAAGCTTACCTAAGACATCCATTTTGAAGGCAAAGCACTGAGTTAAAGCTCAAACTTGAAGATCAAGATAGCTTTACTCAGAAATGGGTGGGTAAATGTAACCTGCCCCAGTAGACAAACACAGTATACACATAGGATGGGGGCAAAAATCGCACAGCACCTATGAATAAGAATGAGAATCTGTCAATTTTTCTGGAAATGGATGTACTTTGAGGTCACTGTGTTACACAGAGTAACGTAACCCAACAGAGACAATTGCCCCAATTTTTCATTAGATGCAGGGTCTCAGTGGTTTGAGGCTGGGCTAAAGGAAAGGGGAAGTATGTGGAGACTGGAGCATAAGAGGCAGGATGAGAAAGAGAGCAACAGAAAGTGACAAAGTCAAATAGAAGTCAGGAAAAGAAATGTGGATGTTGGCCAGGCAGGGATGCCTCTCAGATTTCTTCCCACATTTCATCTCAACACTTGGCAGGCAAGACAGGCAAATCTCTGAGTTTGAGGCTACCCTGGTCTACAGAGAAAATTCCAGGTTAGCCAAGTCCACACAAAGAAACCCAGTCTACAAAGACAAAGAAGAGCAAACCAAACTAAAGCAGGAAAGAGAAAGAAAGAAAGAAAGAAAGAAAGAAAGAAAGAAAGAAAGAAAGAAAGAAAGA